TTCTATAGAACTTTTTTTTAAATAATTTTAAATTCTGTTCCACCAGTTGTCAGAATCAGAAAAGGAGGTTTCTGTACCACATGCAAAAATGCCTTGAACCTGATTTGTTCTGGGTTTTTAAATTAGATTCCCACTTGTAGCCATATCCTTTCCTCCAGTAATTACTGTTTGAAAGAAGGGCCAACATATTGTTTATGATTCTTTCTGCTTTAAGGCAGCCCTCTAAGTAGATCCCAGAAGACAAGATCCCTTTAACTTTCTGTGAGCAATCAATGACAAGATATGTTCCTAAGTCAGGTGGCTACCTCAAACCTGGAGACTGTGTGTCTCCATACACTGACAGCTCTGGGACTGTTGGGTATCAGTTGGTACTGCACAGTGGCCCAACCCATGGGCAATGCCTTCTGGCTCCACAGCAGCTGCACACGATGGTTTCACATCAGAAAAATGAAATCTTCTTTTGGCCACCACGTGATATCTTGTACAGATCAGCACAACTGGAGTCAGTTGGGTTCAGACCTGACACATGGCAAGAAGTTTGTTGTTAAATAAAGGGTGCTTCCAAAAAGATGCAACATGTTGCTTCTGAAGTCATGTCTTTGATGAGTTCCCCATCTATCACCTCAAAGGAGTTATTGGAAATAGCATGGAAAACAGAACAGAAAATATCATTGTGCCTCTGTGGAAATCCATGGCTTGCTTCTGTCCAGCATTCTGATAGAAGCATCTTCCCCTCAGGAGGAATATGGTCTGATTGGAAGATAGAAGATATGAACGGTGAAAGATCATAGAATTATAGGATGGTTTGGGTTGAAAAGGTCCTTAAGATCATCTAGTTCCAACCCCCCTGCCATGGGCAGGGACACCTCACAGTCGACCATGTCACCCAAGGCTCCGTCTAACCTGGCCTTGAACTCTGCCAGGGGTGGAGCGTTCACAGCTTCCTTGGGCAACCAGTTCTAGTGTCTCACCATGCTTACAGTAAAGAATTTCTTCCTTATATCTAACCTGGACTTCCCCTCTTTAAGTTTGAACCCAGTACCCCTTGTCCTATTGCTACAGTACCTGATGAAGAGTCCTTCCCCAGCATCCCCTTCAGATACTGGAAGACTGCTCTGAGGTCTCCACTCAGCTTCTCTTCCCCAGGCTGAGCAGCCCCAGCTTTCTCAGCCTGTCTTCATACAGGAGTTACTTAGGCTGCTTTATCATCCTTGTGGCCTCCTCTGCCCTATCTATCCATCAGTTCTGTAGCCCCATCATAGAAGGCCGTCGAATTGGTGTCCTTGGTCAGATATGAGGGCTCCTTAGGCTGGACAGATCCACGTGGACTACGAAGGTGAAGGAGAATTGGCAACTCATCAGGACACAGGAACGAGTGTGCAATTGATGAAATGGAGATTTAATGCCAGCAGCGAAGCTCTTACTCTCATTGCACAGAATGAAATTACCCCAGAGTACAGGGGAGCCCGAAATAAATTCACAGAGGAGGATGTTGGGTGCCTTCCCAGGGAGGCAGACCTGCCAAAGGCTGTTGGACACCAATAAAACATCTGGCTCAAAAAGTTCCTGAACTGCAAATTGTTGGAGCTGGGGTGGGGTTTCCAGGGAAAGTATCACTCTCAACTTGCCATTTTATTCTACTCTTTCCTTTCCCAGCTGTGACTACCGAGACAGGGTATTGAGAGATCTTCATCCTTGCCCTGGCTGTGCAGCCGCTCTCACCCCCAGAGGACCTGCACAGTCCTGCAGGAAAGGAGTCTGTATATTTTGAAATTCAGTTATCCAAAGTTGATCTCTAAACTCTGGGATTTTGTTGAGCACATTTTTCATCTCCAGATTAAAACTGCTATTAAAAATAATACCAAATACTAACAAGGACTGCCTGTTCACCCCTGTTTGTGTCCTAGAGGGGGGATGATTTTAATATGACACAAAGGAGTATTTGGACATGTTTACAGCATCTGTGGTGTCAGAGATGAATGTGGAAGTGATGAGATAATCAAGAAAAAGAAAGAGAGCACCAATGGGGAGGGAACAAAGAAAAGCAAATTAATAACATGGTAAGAGTACAGTGAAATGTCTTGAAGCTCTGGAAATCCCAGGACACATGAAATTAGCAAGAGAAACTTGAAAAGGAAAGACAAGGGAGATTGTATAAGTCTTTGTATGTGAATATTGCCAAGAGCATCAACAGCTTTGATATACTTACTCCATTCCTCTGAAACTGGAGATACTCCACGACAGTCAGTGGAGCAGCTCTGGTGAGGATGTTGGTGGCTTTAGACCTGCAAGGACCACTTGGGCATAAGGTGTGCAGCTCTGGGCCAGGGAATGTTTGTATCTTCCCTGGGGTGACAGAAACAGAAGCTTTCCTCTTCCGTTGTGCTGGGAGATAGGAAACCAAAGGTTTGGGGCAGCAGTTGGAAACCTGTGGCCTGTGGCATTGCTGTCAAAACCCTAGAAAAGTTGCCCACAAAAGTTCAACCCTGTGGGTAATTAGAGCAGCCTTTTGTACCCTTCAAAAGCCCACCTATTCTTTTTCATTTCAGCTGCAAAGCAGAAAGGCTTGTGAGTGACCTTTTTGGGGGAAAAGTGAAAAACATGCTGCTGTTTCAAAGTGAAAAAGCCAACAGCAAGTGAAGTACTGGTGCTTGGTGCCTGCCCAAGGAAACTTCCTGGCATCAGGCTGAGGTGAGCACCGTATTTCTCTTCCTGGCTGCTGCAGCTTGTCTGAAAGCCTCTGGGATTAATACTGCTAGAATATATGGTTTGTTTAGTTATTTTTATTGACCTGTGAATATATCTATTGAATAACTTACTGTAACGTTAGTAGTTCAGACCGGCGATGTTTGATGTAGAAAATCTTCTCTTCAAGACAGTGAGAAATTCTGCTAGGGTGAGGAGTGCAGGCCTGGCCTCTGATTTGCCTTTTTTTTTTCTTTTCCATTGCAACACAATTAACCTTTTCATTAGAAGAGCTCTGTTCCAAATAAGCAAACTTCTCAATGTGTATTACTGCGCCATTTCAAGCTGTCTCTTGCTTTGGAACAAAACATCTTTGTTCCATCCATGCATGACATTTGAAGACCTATTTATACAATGTGTCAGTTCGATTTGTTTTCTTCATCCTGATATTTTCCTCTGTATATTCCCCTGTATTTTTGGCTAGCTATCCAGACTGCAAGGAGTGAGGCTGCTGCTGGTTTCCTCCTGCCCTCCTTCTGAGGCACTGGCTGCTTTTGGCCTTTCTCCCCTCTGAAGGCAGAGGTGAAACAACCCAAAAAAAGTAGTTTCCCTACTTCATCCTCTCCTCACTGGGATCAGCACCACCAGACAGCTGTGGGATGTGGTATTATCACAATTTGCCTCAAATCTCTAATAAGCCCTTCTTGTTTGACAGTACAATGCTGATAGCACAAAACCCAATTTAAAATAAAAAAAAAAACCAAAACAAATTCTTATTGAGATACTGAATAATAAAACATTCTCCTGACTTTAGTATTAAGTGTAAATAATTTCTCTAACTTGGGATATACCTTTTCCTTCCCGAAGGGGGCACAGAATAGTGCTGCCCCTGGTACTCAAGCGGTGACATGTCTCCCAGCGCTGGCACTATCTGGTGACAAAGGAAAGCTTAAGTCCTTTTTGAAATCTTCTACACAACCTGCCAGCTGAAGGTTTCAAGCTAGTCTAATGCATGCAAGATGCCAGGGAAATACTGCAAGCCTTATTGTAACCAGAAAATAAATCTGAAGGTGCAAACCCAGCAGCAGTGAGCCTGGGGTTACAGTGGCAAAACCCCATCTTCTCCCTGCAATTTTATCCTCTCCAGAAAGGCTGGGGAAGGAGCATAAACAGCTCCATGCAAGCAAGCCTGCTCCTGACAGCTGTTAAAGGCTCTGATAAGGCCAAGAAAGACTTCGGTGTTAACCTTGTTCTTCCCATCCACATAAAAGGAGACAGAAATTTTGGGCTGTAAGATCAGAGATTAATCTTCAGAGCACCCCACAGTTGTGTTTTACATAGACACTCCCTCCAGCTCTTGTTAAAGTGCTCAATTTCTGCTGAACAAGAAGCTGCATGTTATTTTCATGCCAAATACTGCACGTGTACCATGTTAAACCAGACTGCAATCAGCAGCCTTTGTGCACGGTGGATGGGCTTCTCCTGCAAGGAGTGAAGGTGGTGGCATATGTAAGGAGGAATGCCTTCAATACCATGTGCTTCAAAAGCAGTGGTTGAGAGCTTTGTTTTGTGTTCCAGCGCTGGGCTAGAGCTGCGTGCATGGCCTTGCTCAGCACAAATGAAATCAAGGCACCCATATGCTGTATATTAAGCGTGTTTGATCTCCTGCTCACTGGCTCACTACTCAGACGCTCCCTCTTCCTCTTTGTAGCAATTTTGAGTTGTACAGAGCCCGGTGTCAAAACCTGTAAGTCTGCATGTGTTTCCTAGTTCTGTGATGGGAACTGCAGCACTTAACGCGAAACAGTTGAGAAAATGTTGCCAGCCACAGCCACAAAACCTGCTGTCATCTTTTCCATGATGTTGGTGGAAAAGAAAATTCCTCAATTTTTCTTATTAAAGATGAAGGGGAAAGGACTGCCAAAGTGGATGGAATCTAGTCCAACTGATGTAACGCCTGGGCTAGCAAAGCAAAATGTGTATCTCCTTTGAGTGCAGAAATTGCAGCCCTGAATAGCCAAGGTCACCATGGTGCTACTGCAGCCCTGCATGGGCAAGAGACAGCTTGGGTAACACCAGGCTTCCACTGTGTTGACTGCTGTGTCACCGATTACCATGCATTTTCAAGTCATTTATTGCAGTGGCCTAATGATCAACTCTGACCCACAGCAGAGATGCTGGAGAGATAGGAAAGGAAAGCTTCACTTCATAGAGGACTTGCTGGCTCTTCAGCATTGCTCCATGTGGTTTAGGAACTGGGAAATACTGTAACTTGGAAGTGGCAGGATGGCAAAGAAGCCCAAGCAACAACCAGGTAACAATAGAAATTAGTTTTATTTTGTAAAAAGTTATAAAATGAGTATTGTACAAAAATAAAGTCTGTAGAGAACTTTGGTTGATTAACACGAATGACTTGAGACATAAATCGCAGGTGAAGTAAAAAACTCCAGAGAAGCACACTCCTGTCTTCAGTAAGGTCTAAAATATAAACAAAAAAATCACAAACTTTACCCTTTTGTGTTTTGAACATAGTGCTTTGCTTTTCTTACAGCCTCTTCAAGCTGCGCAGAAAATGCTTTGGGGCAAGTAAAAGTACAGCTCTGAGTGCTGCTGCTGGGCAATTGCCCAGCAGCACAGCTGACACTCAGCTTAGCAGGCTTTTACTGCCCAAACCATACCAGTGCTGGTGGTACCAGCTGTACCAGCCCTGGCCAGCGCGGAGGGTGAGGTATCCCCATGGCAGTGCAAGAACGAACCCTGCAGGTGGGCTCTGCGCCTGCCCTCCGTCACCCAGGGAAGCAGAGGAGGCCAGGGCTGAATTACATTTCATACACTTCGCACATCTTTCTATGCCTCTTTTCAACTTCCTTGACCTCTGGACCCTTCTTCTGTGGTGCCCTGAGGGACCCAGGATAAAATGAATATAGAGAGCCATTGCATGCATGAGATAAAAGGTCAGACCATTGTTTTTTTGGGTTTCAGTAGGGATTTTTTTTTTCTTCCTGTTGTTTTTGTGGGAGTTGATGCTTCACTGGTTTTCAGGTATGACTGGTGACCTGCATTGCTGCTCCTTCAGGAAAAAAGTCTCCAGAACTAGGGCTTGCATTCTGAATGCCTTTGCTCTACAACCTCCCTCATCCTAAGAAAATTCAAACTGTTCTGCTGTGTGGGTAAGTTTCAGCAAATTATACAAAACACTTTGGTTATTTAACACAATTGTTTACCTGCAGGCTATATTAAATCCAGGGCTAACTAATAAGAGGGATTTAACCTCTTCTATATGGAAATACGGAAGGAAAAGCTTAAATAAATACAAAAAGAAATTATAATGCTAAATGTGATTATTTTCCATTTGTCAATAGTTATGTGAGGTCAGTTGGCAAAAACTGTGAGAAAAAAAATGTGGCTACATTTAAAATATGACTAGAATTAGTTCTTCTAACAAATTGCTAATGTTGAGCCAAGTCCTGCAACCCTCGCTTGTCCAGAGCTGTTGCTGGTCCTGCACATGTATAACTGCAGTGATTTTTGGAGTATTAGTGAACAGGTGGAAGGGCTGCAGGGTTTGGCACTACATTTTGCAAACACAATCAGGATTTTGTTTTGAAGAAAAAAGGTAAAGTAAGTGATTTTTTGCATTCAAATTAACTATTTCAATCAAAAGCATGGACTGTTGCTCCCAACTTCATTGTCTCTCTGTATCTTCCAAGCACCTTCTACTTTGGCACCTTTGAAAAGAATCTTTAATAAATAAGGAAAGGAGACTCATTACTGAACTGTAATAAATAACAATAACTTAATCTCAATAAATATCTTCTGTATATTTATGTCTCTGAATGGATGCATTGCATCAAGTAGTCTCTGCTCACTCACAATGACCAAATAGAAATGTAGTTACGCAAGTGACGTTAGTCCTTTGTAAACCAAAAGAAACGCGTTTTGTCTTGGCGGGGCTTGTTACTTGTCTTACTATACTAGGAAGAAGTGCTTAAAAACTCAACTTGTTTTCATAGGTACCAGAAGAATGAAATCCTACACTCCTTTTGCAAAAACACGAGATGGAAATAATCAAACTTAACCAGTAAGTGGAACTGTTTTGATTCATATCAGTACTGGCCCTAGAGAACTTGAGCCTTGAAATTTTGATATTTGCCTGATATCATCTTACTTACAATGTTAATCTTATTATGGTTTTGAGGTTGTCCTAAGCGCTTAAGAACCACCCTTCAATGAGCAGTAGCACAATGTGTCTTTCAGTAAAGCTGAGAGCACTGGGGATGAGTAAGGTACTCCTAAACTACTTCTTGGCTAAGCTTCCTGGCACAGATGGTATAGTTACAACACAACACGGTATGGCAGGGTTGTGTTTTTAAGCACATTCCTCATGGATCCGAGTCCCACTGATGGTGAACTGTGTCAAACGGGAAAGGGAGCACTCATGCCATCCAGCCGTCAGCATCTCCACCTGAGCTTTTATGTACTTTCCCGTAGGATGTCAAAAGCCTCCATCCTCCTATGCCGCCTCGCGCCCTCCCCAGGCTCTCACAACACCTCGTTCTGCATTCTTGGTCCTTTTTTTCTGCTCTGAGCAGACATATCCCCAGGAACCTTGGTCCCTATTTTTGCATCATAGCAGGAATGCAAAACAGGCGCTGCCTCTGGCGTGCAGCAGTCAGACACATCCACACCTTTTTGCGGAATGTTTTTTCAGTATGTGGTAAACCAGGTTATCATCCAAAAAGGACAGGTCATCATCAAAGGCTGTGGGTCTGCAACAGGCTTGCTTCACTTTGTCAGTGACTAGTTTCTTCTTTCTGGTTAAGTTTTTTAAAATCTTGTCATAGGTGGTCTCAGCTGCATCACAAGATCCACTGCAATACCGGAAAATCAGCTCTTCTTTGGTTTCATATCCCAAATCCAAGTCAGTCACATTTAAATGTATTTCTGTTAAGACACATCCCCGATTTTTTCCCTTTTGATTCCTCCTCCCCTTTTTGCTGGTATTCTCTATGTTTGTGGCTGTGTTTTGCCGGTTTCTCTCCCGCCTATTAAAAATTGGGGTCTGTTTATCTGGTGACCTCCTCAGTCTTTTAATAGTGGCTTGAATAAAGTCCACTACCTCATCAAATTGATCTGGATAATCCTCTGGCATATTAGCTGTTTGGAAAAAGAAGAGAAAAGGTTTTGTCACAAGGCAATTTTCATTAAGTTAGTCCATTCATGGCTCAGAAACAACTGACACATGCAAGCTGCTCTGCCCATCACTTCAGAGTGCATGCCCAACACCCTCAAAAATCAGGGAGAATTTGGAATGGTTTGGATGATCATGGAAACTCATCTGGAGAAAAATAAATGAGATACATATGTATCTCCGTAGGTGTCTGATGATGCTTGGTAGCACTCCAGCACATATTTTAACACTGAATGAGGTCTACCAAAATCAAGGGAAGGAAAAGGATGTGAATATTAGTTAATGGATGGATGAAACTAGTGTAGAGAGGTTACACAGGCACCAGGCTCTTCCCAGCAAAGTAGCAAAAGGACAAGGTTTCCTTAAAGCGATTTTGTGATCATAAATGTTAACTGCTGTATTTTCACACCAGCAGTGGTTAGGATTTCCAAAGACACCTATTGATAAGGTTTTGGAGCATGACAGAGAATTTCCTGGGGTACCAGGCTGAGCTATTAATCCTGGCTGAATGCCTACTTTTTTTACTGCTTCTAGGGGATAGTTAGTATCAGGGTTTTTGAAATTTTCTTGTCGAAGTATTTTGTAGCACAAGATGCTGATTAGACTGAATAGAAATAGTTCAGAATAGAATTATTACGTTAATTTTCAAAGGAAATGTTATTAATGAGTTTTCTTTTTATGAAGTTAAAATACCTGTTTCATTTTCTACTTGATACATACCCTAAGAGTGAAAAATTACTCAAGTAAATGAAATGTTTTGATACTAGCAGAATGAACCTCTTCAAGGAGGGTGAAATTCAATGTGTTCTGAAATGTTCTAAGATTCCAGCTTTTCAGCATGATTTGGAAAAAAAATCATGTTTTGAAATCTTTAAACTTCCCATTGACCAAACTCCTCAGCGTGATCTACTTTAGTGAATACAGTGATTTAATGAAGAGTCGGGTTGTCAGAAGTGCACATGTAAGGTGTCCTTATGTTGTATTATTAATGACTGTCTTTTAAACACATAAACTACCTTGCAGTATTGAGATTTTCTTTACTCATTCATTGTGCCAAAATCAAGACTTGAGGACTTACTTCCTTTGTAATAAGACATAAGAGGATGCTTCTTTCTGCATTTAATTCCTAAGTTGCCACCCATGTAACAGACCAGTGTCATGCACCCAGCCCTGCACGTATGGGAGCTCCATCTCCAGAAGGACCCCTACAAATATCCCAGAAACTACAAACACTGGGTAACGTGGTAACGAATGCAGTGCATCTGGCCAGGGGTCGGTACCTCCAGCTGAGCCACAAAGGCTCTCAGCTGCTCAGGTTCTGAGATAGGAACAGCTCCTTAGGCAAAGGCTCAGCATCACATTTCCCTAATGAGCACTAACGTACAGGAGCCCTGATGGGAGACCAGGCAACACAGGTACCCAGCTCACACCTGGTGGCATGGGCTCTTTTAACAGGCATTAACAGAAGAGAGGAAGAATGACACAGTTGCTTCCCATTGCCTAGCAAAGGTTCACCTTCATATCTTCAAAAGAAGCACCAAACATAGAGGAGATGGGGCAGTAGGATCTTAACTCGGTTAGTGCAAAAACCTGCTAAAACACTGTGCATCTGCACATAAGGAGGAACATGGACCCCTTCCTGAAGCAGCCACATCCTAGAGGCCCCCTGCTCCTTGACAAAACAGTGATGGATCAGAAGTACAAGGTTTTCAAGGATGGCTCCAGCAAAATAGCATAGACTGTTAAAAGAAGAATGAAGGCAGGCAATCTTGTACCTTCACATAATGAGGGTGGCAAATGGTAAGCAGGATCCTATAAACTGCAGTTTTGGACTGCAAAAAATGAATTACACTTTGTTTTACAGACATCCATCCAATTTTGCAGACCAGTGGCTGTCAAAAGACAAGAAGGAGGGATGACTGCTATCTATACAGCTATATGGGACCTGAACAAAGCAGGACCCTGCAGCCCCATATAGCCATGACACCAATGGTAAGTGCACCCTTCTTGCACCCCTCATTACCTGTGTAGCAGGTATCAAAATACACACTACAAGCCACCCCTACTGTAGGGGGGTCACTTGGGTAGATGTGTCCCTTGGATGCATCACCCAGCTCTGTTGCAGGTCAGGCTGGTCTGCCTACACCATACAAATACTGCCCTACTGAGCAAGGCGCAGGTTGAGGTGATGGGTGGGCTACATTTCTTAAAAGCAAAAAAGAGCAGACACCTTGCTAGACACAGGCAAACAAGATGACCCACGTGGAGCTGGCAATAGTCACCGTTGCTGTAGCACAAGCTTGGCCCTGGCAGAGATACGGATGGAGAGGGGTTTGGCAGGGGGCACTGGTTGCTGTGGTACTGGGTGATTTCTAGGTTTCTTGTATAGAATACTAGGTTTCTTAGCTTGTAACCTGATAAGGGAAGAATGTGGCTCTGAGGAGATAGCTCTACCTGTGCCATTTTCCACTCTCACCTTCAAATTACCCTTCTCACACCACTGTGACTACCCCAGCCTACACCTCTGTCATATAATCCTGGCCCAACCCTTGTAGCAACACTGTAACATAATGGCAGGTTGGGTACAGAGAGTGAACTACGAACATGAGAGAAACATACTAGTGTTTAGCGGAATTCATGCAATGGTCAACCATCAGGAAGAGGATGGGAGACTGTCATGACGACCTATACATGGAGATTCCTGTCTACAACCTTGAGCCTCATATTGGGCTGCATCACAAGAAGCGTGGCCAGCAGATCAAGGGAGGTGATTCTCCCCCTTCACTCTGCTCTCATGAGACCCTACCTGCAGTGCTGCATCCAGCTCTGGGGCCCCCAACACAAAAGGGATGTGGACTTGGAGAGAGTCCAGAGGAGGTCACAGAGATGATCAGAGAGCTGGGGCACTTCTCTGTGAATAGAGGCTGAGAAAGCTGTGGTTGTTCAGCCTGGAGAAGAGAAGGCTGCGTGGAGACCTCACAGCAGTTTCCACTGTCTAAAGGGGCCTACGAGAAATCTGAAAAGGGACTTTTTGCAAGGGCATGTAGGGATAGGATAATGGAGAATGGCTGTAAGCTGATAGAAGGGAGATTTAGATTAGACATTAGGAAGAAATTCCTTACTGTGAAGGTGGCGGGGCATTGGCACAGATTGCCCAGAGAAGCTGTAGATACCCCATTCCTGCAAGTGTTCGAGGCCAGGTTGGATGGGGCTTGGAGTAACCTGGTCTAATGCAAGGTGTCCCTGCCTATAGTAAGGGGTCTGGAGATAGATGATCTTTAAGGTCCCTTCCAACCCAAACTATTCTATGATTCTGTGATTCTGATACTTATCTCAAACCCAGTACACTGCCAGTGCAATGAGGGGAATAAATGTCCCCTACCTTTGAAGGGAGAAACAGAACTGTGCATTACCTGAATAGATAACAAACCCACTAGTCACATCATATTTAAACTGCTTGCAATTCAGGTACAAAACTATCACCTACCCCTGTAATAGTACTATATGAAGGAGTCTACTCTGGTTAAATATTAATCAGTTACAGGATTCAAGCACTGTCCTGCCCAAGCTAATCCAAGTATGCCTTGGAGGGTAGATAAAGAGGAGGAAAGGCCCACGTTGTGGACTGTGTCCCTTCTCAAAGCCCACGCTGACCCCTATCCTGGCTCATGCAGGATCACTACCCCAACCTGAACAAGGGAGCTAATGCTGCTGCAAGCGGCCTGTGATATTTAAGTTGGAGGAAACACCATAGAAAAGTTTCTGTGGTCTGTAGCATATGCAAGACTAACCATGCACACTGCTAATGCAGGCATGGGGTATCAACATTACAGAAGGTGGAAGCATTAGGGCAAAAAGCAAATCAAGTAATCAAGCCAACAGTGTATCCAACTAGAGAAGCCTTACCTACACACATGGACTCTCTGCAACCAGAAAATGGGTTAACTGGCAGAATCAGTGGTCCTGCTGATTTCACTGGGCTCGAACAGAAACCATGGAAGAAGCACTCCAAGATGTAAGATGTAACCTGGGATGAGTTGTGTGTGGCTGATAGCTCTAATGGAGCTGGAGATCCCTGCTCAGCTCATCTCCTGTTGCAGCATTAGGCCACTTGGGAGACTCACTCTGAGGGGTTGCTGAGGGATGCCAGCACTACGAGTAAAGTGAATGCCAATTTTCTCTCTCCACGGTGAACTGCAGACTGGAAGATATCCCAAGCAGATATCCAAATCTCTTGAGAGGACTTCTACAGTGATCCCCAATATTTGGAGATCACTGGAGGAGACACAAAGTTTATGGGTTGTATTAGGGAACCTGTGGGAACAGTGGGCACAGAGCTCCACTTGATAAAATGTCCTGGACCTCCTGATCCTGATCAGTGTCTGCTCACCTACAACCACACATGCTGTTTTTACCAGATATGTAGGTACACCTCATGAATACAATGCCAGCTGCATTACAAGGTTATAAAGTGATCCTTGCAAGTTGCTGTAAGTAAGTAACTACCCCTCTGCCTGTGGATCCCCAAACTAGTCATGCAATGATTCTCTTTCAGCAGCTTCCGACTGGACTGCCAATGTACCCCAAGTTTGCTTCCACAAGTTAGCACTATTTGAGGAACACCTCCAGTCCCTGCTATCAGCCAGCCTCTGGCTGGCGCAACTCTGAATTATTAAACAATCCCACAGAGCCAACTTTCAACGCACACCCGGCAGCATGGGCCTGTGCTCTTAGTACTGCATCAAGTGCAGTTAGACCCAGCAACCACTGAAACATGGACCCAAACAATGGAGCTCATACTGATCATATGTGGCCTGGAGCTAATTTTCTGATGCTTAACAAAGCATAATCATCAGCATGATTAGGAGTGGTTCACAGGGGTTTGAGGAGAACCTTGACAGGCAGGAATGAAGTGAGAGTTGATTTAGCAGCCTATGCTAAGGTGCCAGTCACAACTCAGTAGGGA